GTGTCCCCCGGGAACCATTGGTCCCATTGTTCTCCTCCAGACTATTCATCCAGTCTATCTTATCTAGATAGATCTGTAGAGATAATAATATGCATCAAAAACCAAGCCATAGCAAGATTGGCGATCAGTGAGAACACAGTGATGGCAACAAAAAAGAAAACCAATTACCCATAGAAGAATAAATTAATTAAGAGGAATAAAAATTTTTAAGCAGAAAGAAAAACCTGTAAATAGATCAAGGTCTGATTTTTGATCTCTAGGTGTGTCCTTTAGTCAGGACCGATTGGGTACCATGCTCTGGCCCCCCGAGTCTGTCCTTTGTACTCCCTTGGGGGCTCTCTGCTCTGCTTCCATGGTTGCTCTGCCACACACTTTTTGTGGTTTGCCTCAGGCTCAGGGTCAGTCTGTGCCAGTCCCAACACTGAGTCTCCAGTGTTGTCCCCCTTAAAGTCCGGGGCCATCAAGGGATGGCATGTCTCGTGGTGGGATCAGACATATTGTCCACTCTGTCCATTGGCTGTTCAGAGCGGGGATGTTGTCCTTCTGGCCTGATGAGTCAGGATGTGCTCCACTCTCTCTTCCTCCCCCTAAGTGCTCCCATTTGCTCTGATCAGACATGCCCCACTCCCCTAACTGCAGCTTCAGTGACGTCCTCTCAAGTAGATTCTTCTGGGGGGAGGAGCAGTTGTCCACATAACTGGCATGGGGGCCGAGCCCTCAGGCCCCTCCACTGGCTCCCCACTCCTTGCCAACAAGCTGTATTCGTCTGGCACTGGCTTTAAATCTGCTCCCTCTTTCCCTGTGCAGACACAAACAATACCCTTCCCTTGGGTGGTCAGTGCCCTATTCCCTGGTCACATATCCTTTTTTTTTCCCCCTTTCCTCCCTCCCCACCCCCACTTTGTGGTTGGCTACTCTATGTACTCCTGGATTTGGTCTGGCACCTGTCATACTACCTGGACCTTACCCCTCGAGTATTTGTATACTACAGTAGCTTTTTCCCTGTGCCCCTTTTGCATTTACCTTTCTGTTCTTTTATATATATATAAACTTACCTTAGCGGACTCATGTTATACTTATCCTTTTGTGCTTGGCTTACTTAGTTCGCTTAGCATTATTTCTTCCAGTTCTTCGCATGCAGCAATATGCTTCATCCATTCAGCAATGCTTTTTAGCGATGCATAGTACGCCATTGTATGTATGTACCACAGTTTTTTAATCCATTCCTCTGTTGATGGAAATTTGGGCTGCTTCCAGCTCCTTGCAATTGTGAACTGTGCCGCAATGAACATTGGAGCACAGATGTCTGGCCGTGGTTTGTTTCTTGCCTCTTCTGGGTATATGCCCAGTAGGGGGATTGCTGGGTCGTATGGTAACTCAATTTCCATCTGTTTGAGAATTCGCCAAATGGATTTCCATAGTGGCTGTACATATCTACAGGTCCACCAGCAGTGGATGAGAGTTCCTGTCTCGCCATAGCCCCTCCAACACTTGTTGCTTTCTGTCTTTTTGAATTGGGCTATCTTTGAAGGTGTTAGGTGGTATCTCATAGTTGTTTTGATTTGCATTTCTCTTATGGCTAATGATCGGGAACATTTTCTCATATGTTTATTGGCCATTTGGATTTCAGACTCTGTGAAAGTTCTGTTCAGGTCCTTTGCCCACCTCCTCAGTGGGCAGTTAGTTTTTCTCTTATTGTGAGCTTGCAAGGTATTGTAGATTTTAGTAATAAGGCCTTTGTCTGATGTTTCATTGCAAAGATGTTTTCCCAGTTGGTGGACTCTCTATTACTCTGTTGGTGAAGTCTTTCAGTGTACACAGGTGTCTTATCTTCAGTATGTCCTACTTGTCTATTTGTGACTCCTCTATGTTTGTATCCTTTCCTATTTCTGATAGCCTATGTATTCCCTGTGCCAAGGTTCTCAGGTTTGTCCCAATTCCCTCATTTATGGCCCTAATTGTTTGGGGTTTTATCTCAAGGTCTGTGATCCATCTTGAGTTTATTCTTGAGCATGGAGTGAGGTACTTGCTTCATTTTTCTGCAGGTAGATATCCATTTTTTCCACCACCATTTATTGGAGATAGCATCTGCTTCCCATTTAATATTTTTTGGGCCCTTATCAAAGATCAGTTGCCTGTATGCTGATCTTTTTATTTCTCGGTCTTCAGCTCTTTTCCATTGGTCTGAGTATCTGTCATTATGCCAGTACCACACTCTTTTGACTACTGTGGCCGTATAGTATGTGCTAAAGTCAGGTAGAGCAAGCCCTCTCACTTTGTCCTTCTTCTTGAGGAGTTCTCTGCTAATTCTGGACTTCTTCCCCCTCCATATGAAGTTGGTAATCTGTTTTTCCAATTCTTTGAAGAAGGATGGTGATACAGTGAACCCTCGCCACTTCGCACTTCGACTTGCCGCGGCTTCACTCTATCGCGGTTTTTGCGTAACAGCGCATGCTCTGTCATTACTGCCACTGATTGGCTCATACTGTACACGCTTCTGTCTGCATCGCTACATATCAGAGCTACGTATCAGATGCATTTTTGCTTTTGTACAGTGTACTGTAATTGTTTGCGATTTTTAAGAAATTTTATCTAAGCCCTATGATGGCTCCTAAACGAGCTGCTTCTTCTAAGCCTTCTGACAATAAAAATAAGCGCCAGAGGAAGATGCTCACCATCCAGTAAAAGGTAAAACTTTTGGATATGATCAAAGATGGCAAGAAAATCGTGGAGGTTGCACGCCATTTCGACTTTAATGAGTCTTCCATTCGCTCCATCTGTAAAGAGGAAAAAAACATCCGTGCTACGGCTACTTTCACTTTCAACAAGGAAGCAAAGCGCATCGTGACAAGTCGTAATAAGTTCATAGTAAAAACAGAGTCTGTCCTAGCCGTTTGGATCAATGACAGGCGCAAGAAAAACATTCTCTTGGATTCGATAGTCATCCGGGAGAAGGCAAGGCAGCTCTATCAGCGTTTTACAGCAGACAAACCTCAACCAGAATCCTCTTCTGCAATCCTCTATGCTCTAACTACGAAAATATTTGATTTACAAATAAGGAATCCTACTTCGTGGAATTTCATTTATCACGGTAGGGTCTAGAACCGATTAACCACGATAAACGAGGGTTCACTGTATTCGTATTTCACCAACCCTTGTGTTACTGTTGTTGGTAGGTGCCATTGAGTAGTTCTGACCCATATGTGCAACAGAACAAAACAATACCTGGTCCCACACCATCCTCTTAATCCTTCCTATGCCTGTTCCATTTTTGCAGCCACTGTGTCCATCCTCCACCTTGAGGGCCTTCTTCCGTTTTGCTGCCTCTCTACTTCACCAGCCATGATCTCCTTCACCAGGGACTGGTTTCGCTTAACAACATATCCAAAGTACATGGGACAAAGTCTGGCTATCTTTACCTCCCCACGAGCATCTGCCTATACTTCTTCCAAACACATCTGTTTGCTCTTTTGGCGGTTCACAGTGTTATGTTTAATATTCTTCACCAGCATCGATTCTTCTTCCATCTTCCTCATTTTTCACATGCATGTGAGGCAGTTGCAAAGTCCATGACTTGGACCAGGCACACCTTTGTCCTCAAAGTGACATCCTTGCTTTCAACGCTTTAAAGGGACCTTGTGCAACTGACTTACTCAGTGCAATGTGTCCTTTCATCTCCTGACTGCTGCTTCCATGATTACTGATTGTGGATCCAGGCAAGACAAAATCCTTGACAATTTTAATTTTTTCTCTATCATGATGTTATGTACTAGTCCAATTTTGAGGGTTTTGAGCTTTTTTACATTGAATTTAATCCACATTGAAGGCTGCAGTTGTTGGCCTTCATCAGCAAGTACCTCAGGTTCTCCTCACTTTGAACAAGCAAGATTATATCAGTTGGATATTCCAGGTTGTTTTTGATAAACCTTCCTTCAGTCCTAATGCCACATTCCTCGTCATAGACTCCAACTTCTGATTATTTGCTCTGCATATAGATTGAATAAGTATGGTGAGAAGATACAACCCTGACACACACTTCTCCTGATTTTAAACCATGCATTATTCCCTTGTTCTGTTTGCCTACCTGCCTCTTGGCCCATGTACAGGTTCTGCATGAGCACGATTAGGTGTTCTGGAATTCCCATTCTTCTCAAGGCTATCCATAGTTTCCTTTGATCCATGAAGTTGAACACCTTGGCATAGTAATAAAACACAGATAAACAGCTTTCTGATATTCTCTGCTTTCAACCAAAATCCATGTGTGATAACAGCAAAGATAGCCTTGTTCCACACCCTCTTCTGAATCTGGCCTGAACCTCTGGCAGTTCCCTGTCAATGTGTTGCTGCAATTGTTAGTAGTCAGTGAAAACTGTGTGCACCATCCAGAGACCTAATAGGAGACATAGAGAAATATAATTGTCTTGCTTTAAATAATAGAGGATTTATTGTTTTTTTCTCTCTCCCAAAATTAAGCATATTCCTTCCTCTCAAATATCTTAAATGACTTAAATGACTTAAAACTCATTCGTGAATTGATCTAAACCTTTCTCAAAGGCATTAGGCTGTGTGGCCCTCTGAAGTAGTGAGTTTCATACATTTATTCATTTCATTCTCAGTTTTCTGTCTTCTCATTTTAGTTTCCATAGCATAAGTAGTTTGTGCTTTCTTCATTTTTAATTTTTTTTCTCTTCATTTTTAATTTAGAGCAGGAGTCAGCAAACTTGTTTTTAAAAGCCCGGGAGTAAATATTTTAGGCTTCCTTCGACGGATTGTCTCTCACAACTACTCAATTTTGTGGCTGTAGTGTGAAAAAAGTCAGGGACAACATAAATGAATGAGCATGATTGTGTTCTAATAAAACTTTATTTACAACTATGGACAGCCAACTGGGTTTGGCCTGTGATTCATAGTTTGCCAAGCTCGGATTTAGAGCTTGGTGTCTTGTTCCACCCCACTGTCATCTCTGGAGACTTTTGGTGGCTTTTCGAGGTCTTCTCTATCATGTCTTCTTGAGTTATGGTGTGTACACATTGTATACCTGGGTGGATTGTATACCATAATTTTTTAAAATTATTTTATTGGGGGCTCTTACAATTCTTATCACAGTCCATACATATATACATCCATACATTGTGTCAAGTTCATATGTACATTTGTTGCCCTCATCATTCTCAAAACATTTGTCTTCTACTTTAGCCCTTAATATCAGTTGCTCATTTGCCCCCTCCCCCCCTCACGAACCCTTCATAATTCATAGTTATAGTTTTCCTCATAAGTTACACTGTCCGACATCTCCCTCCGCCCTCTTCTCTGCTGTCCATCCCCCAGGGAGGAGGCTACCCTTAGATTCTTGTAATTGGTTCCCCCCTTTTGCCCCACATTCCCTTCACCCTCCAGGCATCGTCCCTCTCACCACTGGTCCTGAAGGAGTCATCTATCCTGGATTCCCTGTGTTTCCAGCTGCTGTCTGTACAATGTACATCCTCTGGTCCAGCCAGATTTGCAAGGCAGAATTGAGATCATGTATATACCATAATTTAAATAAACTCACGACTTGTTGTCATCAAGTTGATTCTGATTCATAGCAGCCCGAGAGGGCAAAATAGAACTACTCCTGTGGCTTTCTGAGCCTGTGGCTCTTTCCTAGAGTAGAAAGCCTCATCTTTTTTCCTACAGATCTGCTGGTGGTTTCAAACTGCTGACCTTGCAGGTAGCAGCCTAACTCATAGGAGACTGTGCTGCTCGCCTTCCTTCTTGTGTGCAGGATTTGATAGACTTTTCTGGTAATGTAATGGCTGTTTTCAGGAAATGCAGTGTAGTAGTTCTTTGATCTTTGGAACTGTTTTGGATAGTTTGGAACCTGTCCTCATTACTGTGCTTTTTGCGTTATATCTTCCTTCTTTCACATGGTTTCCTGATTTTCCAACCTCCCTTCCTTTCAATCTTTTGAATTTGCCACCATTTCACTAAGAAAAAGTACTGGAGCCCTCAGTGCATCTGGTGATGTTTCTAAGTTGGTCTCAAAAGTAAGTTGTAAGAGCAAGACTGATTCTAGCATGGGCCTCCCTCGTACTTCGCTACTGGTTCTTCTTTCCTCAGCGCCTTTTGACTTTCTAGCTGAGCCACGTTTTCCCCAAATCCATAGTCATTCAGTCTTTTAATTAAGAAGAGTCTAAGGAAATAGCTCAATGATGTTTTCTTTGAAAATTCAATATCATACTTAGAATAACATAAGAATTAATTATGAGCATAATCATTTTCCTTTTCATGAACCCTTCAGCTAGTATCTTTGGGAACGAGCCATGGAAACACCTGAACCAATCAGTCACAGCGATGTCAAACAGTTTTGATCTATTTACCTTGAAAATATTTTGAACAGTGAAAAGTAAATAGCATTTAGATTGTTATAGTGACATCTACCTTTAAAAATATTTTTCCACTGGGCAGGAAATCAAACATCCTTATAATTTCGAGCTGTTCATGTTCTGAAAATAAAGCCCTCATCATATTAGCTGTGAGCTCTACCCTTCTGGTTGAAGATACCTTTCTAATAAAAGGCCATATCACCTAAACATCTTTTGCTAACTGAGTTTAAATAGAAACATATACTCTTAAGCATATTATATGTGTGCTTTTGCTTTGGGCTGATAGGTAAAATTTATATAGGATAAATTAATATTTTAACATTTTATTTAATAGAGGTTGCTGTGTGGCCAATTGGTTTCCCAGAGTCTGTGATACATTCCCCAGATGCACCTCTGTTACTTGACAGTGAAGAGACTTAAGAAATGTTTTATTCCCTGTGCTATGCATGGACTGCTCTACCAGTTATTATCGGCTCTCCGAGTTCTTTGTTTAGCAAAAGTAAGGCTGAGAACAAACTTGCGTTTCCTAGAGTAGATCCGTGTTGAGTCTTGTTGACCTAGGCTCTCCACAAAGAACTTGTAGAAATCTGAGTTGTGATCACCTGCCAGTCAAGGCAGACTTGTCTGCCCAGCTCTGGTACCCTTTCCTAATAAGTGCTGTTTACTATGAACATTAAGGCCACTCTGTGGATAAGATTCTCACATTCATTGTCACAGAGCGTTCATGTGAGAGGTGAAAGTATTAGGAAAGGCTCGACTTAGTTATCACATTGGGTCTAGTGGAAAGAACAGTGGTTGAGAAAGGAAACTCTTACCACAAGTCCTCTCTAATGTGACCTTAAAATAATCACATGCCTCTCTGTGCTTCTTTGTCCTGCTGACTGCTAGCTTTGCGAGGTGCTTCTTTTATGGATAAAATGAAATAATTGAGTACGAAGGAAGGAAGAACATGCAGTTGTGCAAGATGATAATAATGGGACGATATCATCTTTGCATTCGTAAATGGGCCAGCCAAGGAAGGAGCTGTAGAGTGAGGTTCTGGCTGGAAGTTGGTATATAAGAAGGGCTTTTTGCCTCTGGTCACTTTGCCTTGCTTACTATACACCTCTCAGAATGTCCTGGTGGCCTGGGTTTAGTATTGGGAGACCACCTGAGGGATTGGATCATATAGCTGCCCAATCAAAGCCCCCATATCACCAAGGCCCCGTCTGAGAAGTGAAGTGTGCTTTACCTTCTTACACAGTCTGCAAATGTGGGAGAGTTCGTAAAAGCCCAAGCACTGTTCAGCATCTGCTGCTCTGTTTGGTCTCTGTGTGAAGGGACCTCTGGATACAAATGGCCCTTTTTAGAAAATGCTTTGATGTATCAAGGTGACATTTGACATGAATTCACTCTGACATTACAGAAAATAAAATTGTCTGATGAGCCTGTAGAAGCAAAAGAAGATTATACTAAGTTTAACACTAAAGATATGAAGACAGAAAAGGTATGTGTGCACAGCGCAGTGGCGTGCTGCATGTATACCTGGCTACTGCTGTGTGAGGGCACAAAGGGAGGCGGGGCTTCTGGAGGTGCACGCGCAGCCCTGACTGCAGATGACTGATAACTTGAGTGGTGCTGATGGAAGAATTTAGTAAAAATTGTACATGACAAGGGAAACGTTAGGCAATGAAAACGTTTTACAAGGAAAAGTAATATGCACTATGTATGCATATTCATAGTGGCAAGGGGGGCCTGGGAGGGAACAAGGAGGATTTTACCATCCTCCCTTCCTGCAACCTTTCCAGGAGTCATTGTCCCCCTGCTTACAATCTGCCACCCAGCAGTAACTTCAGCCCATGTTTCAGTAGTATTTCTAATCAACTTATTCATTTTTTGCATATATTTCTATATAAATAAGTATGCAAGTAAATACTGATAAGTATATCAATAGATCTGTTTATTTATAATATATGTATATATAGGTGTCATTATAAATTTAATATATAAATTATGTGTAAGAACACATATAAATATAGACACATGCATATATACCTATGCTACACATGGTTACTATATTAAGATATTATATCCACATCATTCTAGTATGTGTGTTACTCGATTTCATCATATGGAGTATCATTTATTTAATCATTCTTCCTCTGTGGGTCACATAGAATACTTCAGATTTAAGAATTTTTGTTATAAGGAAGTAATCAACTTTTTAATTTATAGTCTGCACCTCTGATTACTGCATTAGACACTACTTAGAAGTGACCATAAGAGATCAGAAAACAGTCGTATGAGCCCCTAATAAAACGATTAAATAAAGAAGAAGAATGATGGCAACAAATGTAAAAAAAAAAAAAAGAGGTCAGAAAACATGAACCATTTCATAATGTTTGAAATATATATAGTCAAAATGATTTCCAAAAATGTTATAAAGTCTGTACTCTCAACCATTACTGCAGCTTACATGGCTGACAACATTGAGCAGCACTTTGATTCTTGAAAATGTGTGCTTGTTAAATTGGTTTGCTGATGGGTCACTGCAGTTGAGTCAATTCAGACTCATAGCAGCCCTTCAAGAGTGGTTGTTACAAATGTTTACTGCCCATTGGAATTTCTGAAAATGCTGTCTTGTCTTTATATTGGAATAGTAATGTTTTTTCTTGTTGATTTTTAAGAATACATTCTAAATTAATTCTATTAACACTTTCCATGACATATTTTAGTCCTTTTTAGTTTTTAGTCCTTTTTAGTTTTTAGTCCTTTTGATTATTTAGCAGTTTTAAATTTCCTCATAAATAAACATATAAAACTTTCCTTTATGATTTACCATTTTTTAATGCTTTAAATTCTACTTAGATTTTAACAGTATTCAGCAACCACCCTTAGAGTTTGATTTTTCATTGTTGTTGTTGTTCTTTAATCTACATGTAATTTATTTTAGCATGTAGTGTCAGGGGATAATTCAGTTTGAGCTCATGGTAGCTAGCTACCTCTTTGTTAGCAGGGATATTTTTCGTTTCTCTCAGAGCAACATTTGTGTCCCATCCTCTAAGTCCCCCTTCTCTTTGTACCCAGTTGGGACTAGCACCAGTGAAGTACGGGTTGAGCCAGGATGTCAGTAATTTATTTAGGGTAGCTTGTCTGAAAGGGATTGTCCAAACACTAAGCCCATTAAATTTTCAGTGACAACGTGAGAAGGAGGAGTGTGGCGATCATATACTGTAGCCTTAGAAGGTACTTGGGCAATGGTTTTGTTCCAACGACAAAAAAGGAAGAAACATTGTTCTTTGCTGATTCCCACGCAGCATTGTTCTGAATAAGCTGCAGAAAGTCGATATTTACAGGGAAGGATCGTTCGCAGTCAGCTTTGGGGAAAGCACTTCTTGGTTGGAGGGGAAAGAGGCAGCTGTGCTGTGGCACTCAGGATGCCTTGTGATGCAGGGCAGCTTTTCAACAGCAAAGTCATGTTCTTCTTGGTTTCCCACGGAGGGTCAGAATAAGATCAATGGTTAGTGGGTGTGAATTATTCACCGGGTAGTAACACGAGGCTGTAACTCCTCCGTGTGACAATAAAAATTGTATTCCAGTGTCTGTCAGTCCCATGTTGGGTGTTAGCTCTTAATGCACTCTCAAGAATCATTCTACCTCTAGTAAACCATCACTCCTCAGAAGACAGCAGTTAGATCTTTTGGCTTTTTGAAAAACCCATTCTGTCCTAGTTCTGAATTCTGACTAGAATGCAGAACTTCTTTTCTAATCATTCCCATGTCAGCCGTGAAAGCTTACTTCCTCTTAGTAAACCTCGAGACATGCATGGTCTTGTTTGATTTGAAAGTGTGCTTTATAAATGATACATTTGTAACAATTGTTCCTCTTATTTTTATTAACAGAAAAATAGCAAAATGACTGCAGCACAGAAGGCTTTGGCTAAAGTTGACAAGAGTGGAATGAAAAGTATTGCTAGCTTTTTTGGTGCAAAAAACAAAAAAAAGATTTGAAACTTTGAAAATAACATCTAGAAACACTTTTCTTTTGCTTTTTACATGTTCTACTTTCTCTCATCCTCCACACCACTGTACTTCCTGACCTTAATGGCCACCTTTTGGAAGATAAAGCAAAAACTGTCCACAAATAAGCTAACACGCAATTTTCATATTCACTTAAACAATTCTTGGTATTTTATTTTTTTATGTTCCTGAATATGCAAAAGTAATTGTGCAATTTTATGGCCTGTGGCCTTTGGAGTCTTGTTTGACATGGTGAAACATAATCAAGTGGATAGAATAAGCAGCAAAATTCCCTCAATAAAATATGACAGAATTTCAGTGTCTGTCTGTTATTTCATACAAGTTTGCCACGCAGGAGCTGCAGATAAACCATTCTCAGTATTCTGAGAAATCATAGCTAACTTGTCAGGTAAACTACTACCGTTAAAAAAAGTGTCAGCTTTTGGAAAATGGTGTTTTACTGTATTTGTGTTCATTTTAGGATGGATGGATGGATGGATGGATGGATGGATGGATGGATGGATGGATAGATAGATAGATAGATAGATAGATAGATAGATAGATAGATAGACAGACAGACATAGATGTCTCTAAATCATGGCAAGCTTATGTATAACAGATTGAAATATGGCTCAGTCTTGCATCAGCCCCACAATTATCAGCATGCTCAAGTTCATCACTGAGGCTATTGTATCCATCCATCTCACCCAGGATATCCCTTGTCGTAATTGGCAATCTTCTTCATCTAAACATAATATCTTTCTCTAGTGATTGATCCCTCCTGACGCTGGATCCAAGTGTTCTGCTATAATTCATAAGGTTTTCACTATCTAATCTCTAAGTGTCACTGAGCCTTTTGTCTATTCAGTCTTACCACTGGAGATCCTGCTGGCATTTGAAATCCCAACGGCATAGTTTCTAGCACCACAGTCACACACAGTCAACACTGTACAAGGAATCGACAGATGGGTAATCTCATTTCCTCACTGCCATCTTGTTGATTTTGACTCATAATGACTCCAAGACAGGCTCGAACTGCCCCCAGGGGTTTCCGAGATGAAATCTTCGCAGAGGAGAAAGCTTCGTTTTTCTCCCTTGGAGCTGCTGCTGGCTTCGAGCTGCTGACCTTGTAGTCAGTAGCCAATGCATAGCCCAATGTGCCACCAGTCCTCCTCAGATGAGTGGCAGGTAAAAATATTACTGAATATAAAATGAAAAATTTAATCTTCATACTTTTTATTACCTAGAAACAATATGGAAATATTTTATAAGAACAATTTTTACAAGAAATTATAGTGGTAATTTTAAACCATTTTTACACCATTTTATGGGCATATTTCTCAGTAATGCTAAGTATTCCACCTAAATATTCATTTTAAAGACAGTACTAGTTGCCATTGAATTGATTCTGACTCACGATGACCCAGGTATACGAGAGCAGAACTCTGTTCCATGGGATTTGCCAGTGATTGGTTTGGCAAAAGTAACTCCCTAAAGCTTTCTTCTAAGATACCTCTGAGGGGACTTGAATCGTCAGCATTTTGGTAAGCAACCAAGCACATTCACCGTTTACATGATGCAGGGACTCCAAAAACAATATTTCCATTATTTTCATATTTGATGAATAACTCTGACCCTATTTTTGACATGTAGATTATGTGTATGTAGTTACTGTTGTAAATAATTAAAGAGTCAGGTGATATGTAAATATCTGCCTTTTAGTCTTTCCTTAAAATGGCAGTTTTTACATCTTTGACCTTTTCTCCAAGGAGTCCCGTTCCGTATATTGGAGAATGGTATTTAGAAACCAAGGACTCATTTCTCTTGGTGTGTCATTTCTATAAGCCTACGTAGTGGCCAGAGCTAGGAAATGCATGTGTGCTTGCATATGTGTATCTATGTATGAGCTACTCCATCAGAACTATTTGCAGGGTGCCGATATGGATTAAGCTTCCAGTGAGTCCCCTCTAACCATATCCAGGGATGTGAATAGCCTTGCTATCAGAGAGCACTGTTAGGTTATAATGTAATACCTTATCATTTGATCTCCCTTTTGATTCATTTTAAATTTTCAATTTTTAATATTTTCTGCTTTCTTTTTGATTGAGGTTTTACTCTGTTTTGTCATTGTTGGCTTTTTGTTTGCTTGCTCCCTGTTTGCGTTTTGTATGGTTTTCTGTCTATGAAATCCAGGATAGGTAAAACTATAGAGACAGTAACTGGTTTAATAACTACATAGGGTCATGGCAGGGGAGGTTGGGGTGAGATGAGGCACTAACAACAGTAAGTACAAGAAGAAAATGTTCTGAAACCGCTTGCGGTAATGATTGTAAAACTCTTCATAATATGATTAAATTGGACATGAATTATATGCCAATAAAACCATTTTTAAAACTATTTATCCACGTATATATTTATCTATATGTGTGGCCTTACTTATCAAGTTGAGGAAGTTCTCTTGTATTCCCAGTTCACTGAGAATTTTTATCATGAATGAGTCTTAAATTTTGTCAAATACTTTCTGCATCTATTGAGATGATCATATAGTTTCCCATTAATAATGGAGTGTCTTTTAACAAATGAAATCTGATGATTAATTTAAACTGCTAATATAGACTATTATGGTATGCCCCATTTGAAATACATTTTAAAGTGTCCTGATTTACTATGGGCAAGCAGAACGAAGAGTGGCATATGATATATATTCTTTATCTTAAAAACTCGAGCTGACAGCGACAAACTGATGTCATTTTTGGAATAAGCAGGTCAAATATTCTCAGAAACAAGTTAATATTTGAGGCACCAGTGTTTCTGATATTTCCTAATTTCCATTTGATGGAGGGTTTTCTCTGTTTTACTTTGTTATTGTTAGGGTGTGTGTTGTATTTGAAATCCAGGGTAGGTAGCTCTGTAGAGACAGTAACTGGATTAATGGTTTCTTGGGATTATGGCACAAGAGGTTTGGGGTAAATGGGGAACTAGTGAAAAAGAGCACCAGAAGGAGAAGAATGTTCTAAAATTGACTGTGTTAGTGATTGTACAACTCTGCTTGATAAGATTGAACTGCTCAATTGTATGATTTGTAGATGAAGTGTCAATAAAACTTTAAAAATTGAAATGGAATGCATAAAGATTGATATCTTAGGCAGCAGTGAACAGAAATGGATAGGTATGGGTCATTTTGAATAGGATACTCTTATGGTTTACTATGTGGGGAATGACAATTTGAAAACAAAAAGTGTCACATTCCTCATCAAAGAGAACATTTCAAGATTTACCTTGAAGTACAATGCTGTCTCTGATAGAATATCTATACACTTAAAAGGATGACCAGTTAATAGGGCTGTTATTCAAATTTATGCACCAACCACTAAACCCAAAGATGAAGAAATACAATTCCATCAACTTCAGTCTGCATGGAAGAGTTATCAAGATACACTGATAATTACTAGTGATTGGAATGGGAAAATTGTAAATGAAGAAGGAGCACTAGTTGGAAAATATGACCATGGTGATAAAATCAATGTTGGAGATTGCATGATAGAATTTATTAAAGTCAAGGATTTTTTTATTGTGAATACCCTTTTAAACTAACATAAATAGTGTTTACTGTGGACCTTGCCAGATGGACTACCCAGGAATCGGATTTGTGGAGAAGTTCAGTGTCATCCAGCTAAACATGACCAGGAGCTGAATGTGAAACAGAACATCAATTGCCCATATTTACGTTCAGGTTAAAACTGAGAAAATTACAACAAATCAATGACAACCAAAATAGAACCTTGTTTATGTCCCACCTGAATCTAGAGTTCATCTCAAGGGTAGATTTGAAATATTGAAAACTAATGATGGAAGAACATATAGATTGTGGACATCAAGACAATCATGCATGAAGAAACCAAACCAAAGCAAAACCAAACTCGAGTGCCATCAAATCAATTCGGACTCACAGCAACCCTATAGGACAGGGCATATTTGCCAAACGGTCTTTTTTAAAAAGCGGGTGGGGTGGGGGTGGGGGCTTGACCAAAGTCAATGTTAGAAGAGATATTGAAACTTGCTTTTGTATGTAGAGTAGCTAAAGCAAATGGAAGAAATAAAGTAGGGGGGTTGAATACAGAATTTCAAAGGGCAGCTCGAGAAGACAATGTTTAGGATTAAAATGAAATGTACAAAAGTATGGAGTTTGAAATACAAGAGGGAAGAACATGCTCAGCCTTACTCAAGCTGAAAGATGGAAGAAAAAATTCCAGTGTGTCATAATATTAAAAGATTCTCTGGGCAAAACACTGAGTGATGCACGAAGAATTGAAGAAAAAGATGGAAGGAATACACAGAATCACTGTACCAAAAAGAATCGTTCAATGTTCAACCATTTCAAAAAAAAGTAGCATTTGATCATTAACCTACAGTATATATGTTTTAATAAACTATTAAGGTATTTTTAAAACTGTTTTATTGGCATATATTTCACATCATTCAAGTCAATAATTCATATTAATAAGATTATATAATCACCTTCCCATCAATTTAAAAACATTCACTTTTTCTACTCATTGCCATCAGCTCCGAACCCTCCCCACCATACCCTCCAATAAACCATCAGTGCAATCCCTGTCTCTATAGCTCCACCCATCCTGGATTTAAAATACTGAAGAACATAGAAAAAAAGTTAAATAAAATTAAAAAACCTTCACGGCACTCTGCATGATAGCAGGGCTATTCATATCCCTTGTCTGTGGTGAGAAAGCATTCACTGGGGACTTAATCCCTGCGGGGAACCTACATATGGTTTTTGGGCTCCCACTGTCATCCGTAGCCTTGCACAAACTAGCGTTCACAATTTAAGCCCTGATAGCACTCCCTCCTCAGGCTTAGATTTTATAATTCATAATCCTTGGGTCACACAGGCTGGTGTGCTGCTTCTGTGTAGGCCCAGTTGATGCCTTACTGAGATGGCTGTTTGAAGCCAGGCCTTTAAGACTTCAGTTGCTATTGTTTCTAATAATCAAGCACTATCTACTTCCTTTGCTATACTGTAACACACATATCTTCAGTGATCTCTTCATGTGGACAGTATCAAACAGGGCCATGTAATAAGAACTGATTGTTCTCAGATTGGGGTTAGAATTAAGTGTGAGCTCAAAATTCATTCATATATCTACAATTTATATACATGTCTTTGTTTCACTTTAGAGATACCATTTTGTGTTAGAGAACATTATCAATCATCCTCCCGGGGCATACTGGAATGCTATTGATAGTGTTATTCATTTAGCCAGTGGTGTGGAACTCAAAACAGTTTTGAGAAATGATAT